TAAAATCTGTTTGTTTTAAAATTTGATAAACATCTGTACTTTCTTCAATATTATCTAAATCTAATGTTTCAGATAATGATTGTAATTTTTGAGCAATTTCTATAACTGTTGGTTGATTTTCATCTGACATTTGTACTAATTCTCTTGCAGTTTTATCAATTTCTAATTGTTTTCTCATTTCTACAGCTGATAATTGTTTAGATGGATATTCTTTAGAAATAATTCTTTGTCTTTTAGCAGTTTTAGCTAAATCTCCTTTAACTTCATAAGATAATTTTTTAACAGTTATTTTACTACCTCTTAGTCTTTGTAATTTTGTTTTTAATTGTTCTTTTTCTAATAACATTTGTTGTTTTTTACGTTCTAAATCATCAAAATTTTCTTTATTTTCTTGAGCTTTTAAAGAAGTTTGTTGGATTTGTTTTTCTTGAATAACCATTTTTTCATACTCTTCTTTTTCAATAATATATTTCGTAGTTATTTTATCTAATTCTTGACTATATTTTTGTATTTTCTTTGATAACTCTTTTTCTTTATCTTTAAGTTCTTCTTCTCTAATTTCTCTTTGTTTCATTTGTTCTTGTAAAAGACGTTGTTGCTCTTTTATTTCTTTCTTTCCTTCTTCACCTTTTCTTTTAGTTTCTTCAATTTCTTGTTGAAGTATTTTTGATTCTTCTTCTCTTCTTTTTTTATTAATTTCTGCTTCTCTTATTCTTTTTATATCCTCTTGAGCCATAGCATCTCTCTTTTTTTGAAGTTCTTCTTCTTTTTGTTTATTTGAATCAAATGATTTTAGAGTAACAACATGTCCCATTGCCATACTACGAATAGCTCTTTTAAATAGTTCCATAAATGAAATTACTTTTTTAGTATCACTTTGAGTTGGACTTTCATTATTTTTCAATTCCAATAATGCACCAACAAATTCCTTAAAACATAAAATAACTACTTTTTTATCTTCACCTGATGCACCTTCTTCAACAGCAAATGAACATAATGAAAGTAATTTTTCTTTACAACGAAGAATATCTTGATTAATTGAAGAATAATCTTTATTAATAAGATGAAGATTAATATTACCTAATAACTCTATAATAGAAGAAAAATCTCCTCGTAATTTTGGTTTTAATACTGCCATTCTCATTTCAGGTATTTTTTGAAGTAGTTGCCCTAATCCTTCTCTCAGCCCATATAAGAATTTAGTTACATTTCTAATTAATTCACTAAATTGTAATTTAGCTTGACTATCCTTACCAGTAAGTGATAATGTTGCTACTTGTATTAATTCTTCTAATGAATGATAAAAGTCATCCGCTGTAGCTACAATAGTGTCATATATTTCTAAAATATCATCAGTAGAAAAAGAACAATCAATTTGGCTAATAGTTTTTTGTAGATCAACAGATGACTGATTTATAAGATCTATATGAGGTTGAGCATCACTCATTGTTCCATTTTCTAACTATTAGAATGAGTTAATGAATATTAAATATTTCTAAAATTAATATCTTTACAAACTACAATCCCTCGAATTGATCGAATTTGGTTAGCAAAGGTTGAAATAAGAGATAGACAATGATCACAGTTTCTCTTCATTAAGTGATTCTTTTCAAGTTTTTTTTTATTTTTTTTATTTTATTTATGAAAAATAATATCAATTTTTTTTTTCATATATTTGATTTTGACTTCCTTTATGTATTGTTTCATATTTTTTTCTTTTTTATTTATTTTTTAATTAAATAAGGAAATAAATGAAAATTCATAAAAATTTTTATTATTTTTTTAAATCATAAAGGAAAAAAGTTCTTAATATCTTTTAATTGATTATTTACATAACGATTATTATTCATTTGAAATATATTTTATAATTTTTACTTATATATTATGGTAATTTGAAATTGAAATAGCTAACTCTAAATAGCCTTAAAAAAGTAATGTCCTTGGATATTATAAACATTCACAAGAATAAAATAATTTATTTTTAATAACTCATTAATTTGAAACATAGATTTCTTTTTATTTTCTTTAATAAACCTTTAAATAGTAAAAAAGAAATTTTGAGTGGTTATTGTTATTAAAATTGTCAAAAAACTAAATATTTTATAATAATTAAATTATTTTTTAATGATTAAATGAAAAAACAAAAACTTTTTTTTCATTAATAAAGAATCAAATTACAGTACCTTTATTAAACAAAGACACAAAGAAATATTATTTATATAATACAGAAAATATACACTTTAAAATTATATGCATAAAATTATATTTCTATTAAATACTACTTTTAATAATAGAAAATGAAAAATTTATAACCATTTTTATGAAATGAAAATGAAATAATAAAATTTATTAAAAATGATTGCAATTTAAATAAGAAATTATTAGTAGTATGCATTAATAATTTCTTTCAAATATAATATGAATTACTACTATATTATTTTTTAATTTTATTTTAATCGTAATGAATGAATTAATTAAAAATATTTTATTAATTGACAATTAGAACATTCAGGAATAATAATATTAATTTTTTTAATTTTATTTAAATCATAATATCCTCTAATTTCTACAATAAATTCTTTACATTTAACCAACCCAGTTTCGTAATTAAGAAATTGGTTAAAATTGAGAATTGAAGGTTCAATAATATTAACAATCGAAGTGTTTTTATCGTTGATAAATATTTGTGGTAATAACTCGTGATAAAAAATAAAAGAACCACGAATGCTAAAAGTTGTTTTATATAAATTTGATTTAAGGATAGTAATATTTATATTATCAAAGTGATTATTATAAATACCAGATGCTACAAAAGCACTTGGTATTTTATTTTTAATTTTATCAAATACAAAAGGAATTGCAATAAAATGAAAGAATTTATTTCTTTGAAGATAACATTGATAAGTAACTTTATTATAAAATGTAATATATCCAATAGTTCCATTTTGTCCAACAATAATTTCAAATATTTGAGAATCACCAAATAATTGAGTTGAAATTATATTAAGTTCTTTAGATAAAATATGAGTAAGATTATTATTATCTATTTCTGTTTCAATAATAACAGGATTAAATATTTTTGTTTGATTAATAATTGTAAGATATTGTTGAATAAAAGGATAAAATTTATTTTCTGATTTAAATGTTTGAAGTGTTAAATTTATAAATTTTTGTTGTTCATTAATATTACTAGAATTATCACAAATAACTGTTGGCTTTGTTTTTACATAAAATGTTGTTTGATTATTTAATGGAATTAAAACCATTGTAAAATTACTTTTGCAACCACAGTCAAATGAATCAGTAAAATACATTGAATATGATGGATCAGGATCTTTTATTGAAATAGTAATAGGATATGGTTTAATAGTATTTATATTTATAGAATTTAAATAAAATCTTAAACGGAGAGTATGACAAATAATATAATGTTTATAAAAAATTTGATAATCACAACGATCGAATTGTGCTTTTAAACTAAATCTTGAATCATTTAGTGTGACTTCAGGATATATTATTTTTCCTCCAAAAAATCTAGAATTATCTTTTTCTATAAATGTTCCATTAAATTCTATTTTAAATGTTGGATCAATAAATGTATAAAACTGTGTATTATTAGTTATTTCAATATTTGGTGGTGGTATTGTTTCAATAAAAAATGTTGAATAACGACTATTACATGTATATGATCTTCTAAGAGTAATTACTCGAATTATTCCAAACATAATTGAAGTAATAATTGAAATGATTAATACTAATTTTATTAATACCTTAACTTTATATTGATTTTTAAAATAATTATTTAAACTAGTTTTATTTTCATATATTTCATCTTCAATAGTGGGATTATCTTTTTCATATATATAAAGTATATCTTTCATCAAAAAAATTACTATTTAAACTGACTTGTAAGTTCTTTTGAAAAAGAAAAAAAAATCCCATAAATGATTGGATTATAAATAATTATTTAAAAGTATATTGTGGTTTTCTGGATGGAACTAACACACATAATATATTTTCTATAACACCTAAATCATATTTATTTTTATATTGAATTGTACTATTACGACTATGTAACATTTTCCATTTAAATTTCTCGTTGGTTGTTATTCCACGAGAAATCATTACTATATGATATAATGTAAACAAACTTAATATTACCCCTGAAAATAAAGAAAATAACCCTACAAATAATGCACTCCCTGTTTCATTAAAAAGAATTGTTAATGACTGTTCATTTGTCAAATGATATGAATCGATATTAAGAAGATCATATTGAGTTATTACCTTTGACACTACTGAAAAAGATAAGAAACAACTATGATAACAGAGAATTGTTGTTATAATTAAAAATATAATGAAATATCTACAATTTAATTCACCAATACAATTATTGATCCAACAACAATGATGTTCATATTTTGCAATACATCGATTACAAATATTACAATGATGAGAACGTGATGGTCTATATTATTAATTTATTCAATAACAAAGTAAATCTAATAAGTACAAACTTTATTAATAAACACGTAGAACATTTTCTACGACAAAAAATAATATTATCAAATGGGTATTTCTTGATATATAGCTTTACATTAAATTGATTAATATATCCAGGATTTGAAAGGCTTGCAATAAAGAAAAATATTATTGTTAGAATTAAATTAATATGAAAAAAAATAAAATATTCTTGTGATAGTGAATGAAAAACATCTCTTATTAATAATAAATCACATACACCTATCATAATTAAATAAACAATTTGTAATAAATGACTCTTTTTATATAAAATTTTGTTATAAAAATTCTTTATTATTCCCCATTGCTTTCCTCCAAATAATAATCGAACATATCTTCTATTCATTAAATATATTCATAAATTAATAATTACCTATTATTAACAAACACTAAACCATCATCCGATACTAAAAATTGATAAGTTTTACCTAATATACTATTATTCTCTAACCCATTACTTTGTTCAATCAAGAATAATATCAAAACTAATAACGCAATAATACAAATACATAGAAATACTATTGACCAATTCATTAAATCAAATAGAACTTTTCTAGTTTAATTATTAACTTGTTTTTTGTTTTTTCCCTTAATAGATGTTCAAATACTTGATTCAAGAATCAAAGTATTTACTCTTTCCACTTTTATTTTAATAAATCCCTTCTTCTTTAAACACAACCCAAAATAACATAATTAAGAAGATTGAAACAATAGTAACATTCTTTCTTCAATATGAAAACCTGAAAGTAAATCGTCAGCCAAAGAACTGTAAAACGTACTAAATATAGTGAACTGTGAAGAAAATGAAAAAAAATGAAAAAGAGATGAGAAACTAAAAAATACAGATGAGTGGGAAAACAAAAGAGGACAAGAAGAAATTAAAAGAGGAAGAAAAAAGGAAGAAAGAGGAAGAAAAGAAAAGGAAGGAAGAAGAGAAGAAAAAGAAAAAAGAAGAAGAAAAAAAAAAAAAAGAAGAAGAAAAAAGAAAGAAAGAAGAAGAGAAGAAAAGGAAAGAAGAAGAAAAAAAACACCGCGACCACAAACATGATGACAAAAAACATGAGGAAAAAGATAAAAAAGATGAAAATGACAAAAAATTGAAGAACGAACCTGAAGAAGAAACCAGAAAGAAAGCTGAAGAGGAGGTTAAGAAAAAAGCAGAAGAAGAAGCTAAGAAGAGGGCTGAAGAAGAAGCTAAGAAAAAAGCAGAAGAAGAAGCTAAGAAAAAAGCAGAAGAAGAAGCCAGAAAGAAAGAAGAAGAAGAAGCCAGAAAGAAAGAAGAAGAAGCCAGAAAGAAAGAAGAAGAAGAGGCTAAGAAAAAAGCAGAAGAAGAGGCTAAGAAAAAAGCAGAAGAAGAAGAGGCTAAGAAAAAAGCAGAAGAAGAGGCTAGAAAGAAAGCTGAAGAAGAAGAGGCTAGAAAGAAAGCTGAAGAAGAAGAGGCTAAGAAGAGAGCTGAAGAAGAAGAAGAGGCTAGAAAGAAAGCTGAAGAAGAAGAGGCTAGAAAGAAAGCTGAAGAAGAAGAAGCTAAGAAGAAAGTAGAAGAAGAAGAAGCTAAGAAAAAAGCAGAAGAAGAAGAAGAGGCTAGAAAGAAAGCTGAAGAAGAGGCTAGAAAGAAAGCTGAAGAAGAGGCTAGAAAGAAAGCTGAAGAAGAAGCTAGAAAGAAAGCTGAAGAAGAAGAGGCTAAGAAGAGAGCTGAAGAAGAAGAGGCTAAGAAGAGAGCTGAAGAAGAAGCCAGAAAGAAAGAAGAAGAAGAAGCTAAGAAAAAAGCAGAAGAAGAAGCTAAGAAAAAAGCAGAAGAAGCTAGAAAGAAAGAAGAAGAAGCTAGAAAGAAAGCTGAAGAGGAAGAGGAAGAGGTTAAGAAGAAAGAAGAAGCTAAAACATTTAACACTAGTAAGCCTAACGGAACTGGGGTATCAACTCAGTTAGGACTTGCTTCACAACCAGGACTAGCTTCACAACCAGGACTTGCTTCACAACCAGGACTAGCTTCACAACCAGGACTAGCTTCACAACCAGGATTAGCTTCACAACCAGGATTAGCTTCACAACCAGGATTAGCTTCACAACCAGTAGGATTAGGACTAAGTTCAACTCCAAGAGCACAACCTAGATTAGGGCTTGGAGGAGGATTAGGAATACAACCAGCTGGATTAGGATTAGGACTTGGAGCACAACCAACAGGATTGGGGTTAGGACTTGGGGCAAACTCAAGACCATCCATGGGGCTAGGACTTGGAGCACAACCTGCAGGGTTAGGATTAGGACTTGGAGGACAGCCAGGGCTCGGAATGCAACCAACAGGACTAGGACTTGGAGCACAACCAACTGGATTAGGATTAGGACTTGGAGCACAACCAACTGGATTAGGATTAGGACTTGGAGCACAACCAGGATTAGGAGGACTTCCACCAATAGGTGGATTAGGAGGACTACCACCAGTAGGAGGGTTACCACCATTAGGAATGAATGCTCCACAAGAAGAGATTGTAACAGAAGTTGAACAAGGAGGTGAGAAGAAGAAACGAAAGAGACAAAAGAAGAAAATTATGATTTCACAGTCAGCATTTTTCACACATGAAAATGAAGAAAAGGCAAACGCAATGTTAAGTAAGATTGCTGATGATGCAGTATTAGTATTTGATTGTGGAAGTTCATTTATCAAAGTTGGAGTTGCAGGAGAAGAACAACCAAGAAAAGTTATTCCAACTTGTTACTGTACAATAGAAGATGAGGACTACGAAGGAGGAGAAAGAAAAGAATTTGGTTATAAAGCAATTGATGAGGATGAGGGATTAGTGTGGCCACTTGACCCAAGGAAAGATACTGATTGGGATGGATTACTTGCTATTATTCAAAATATTTATGAAAATGAGTTAGATGGATGTGATCCAGCATCTCATCCAGTTGTTATGACAGAACTACCGAATATGAATGAAGTATCAACAGATAAAATCAAATCTATGATGTTCAATGATTTGAATGTTCCATTTTTAAAAATAGTTAATCCTGCATTAATGGCATTATATGCTGAAGGTAAAGAAACAGGGGTTGTAGTTGAAATTGGTAACAGAATGCAAATAGTACCAGCTGTTGATGGGTATGTTATTGATAATGCTATTACTAAAATTAAAGGTAATGTTTCTGGACTAACAGAGTACATGTCTCGTTTGTTAAGAGCTTGTGGTTATATCTATACTACATCAGCACAAATGGAATTAGTAAGAGCAATTAAAGAGAGTGTATGTTATGTTGCTTTAGATTATGAAGCTGAAATGAAAAAGAAAGCAAAGGATGTAATGAAAGAGTTTCAAGTTCCAGGTAATGAAAACACTTCAAAATTCTTCCAAGAACGATTCCAATGTCCTGAGGCTTTATTCCAACCTGAAAAAGTAGGAATAGATGCTGAAGGAGTTCCTTCAATGTTATTTTCCACAATTAAAAAATGTCCATTAACTTCAAGAAGACCATTATTAAATCATATCATTTTATCAGGTGGGTCAACATTATTCCCTGGATTACCAGAAAGACTTGAAAAAGAACTTAAACAACTTTGTACTGAAAATAAGATGAATCCAAGAGATGTTAAGATATCAGCATTACAAAACAGAAAATACTTAGCATGGACAGGTGCTGCTTTGTTAGCAGGAATGTCTACATTACTTGATGAAGAAAAATGCACAAAAGATTATTATCAAGACAACTGTTGATGAATATATCCCACAAATCATTATTTTAATTCTAAATACAAATTAGTTTATGTTTTTTTATTTATTTTTTTTCAAAAACAAATTAAAGACTTGAATTTATCAAGAAATATTATGAAATAAATATAAATTCAGAAGTGTATATTTATTAATATACAAAGAATAAAACAAAACAAATACAAGAGCAAACGAGTATTAGTACTGAACAGTGAATGACATCTAATGGAAAACTTGTTCACAAAGAAAAAATTAATAATAATTACTTACACAAGAAGATAAATAAAGTTTATGTGATTAGATCAAACAAACTAATAACAAAGATTTTAAAGAATAGAACAAATAAGAGATATTTGAAATGAGTTAATCAAAAAATAGAAATATACTCAAAAAACTATAACAAAAAAGATAATATTAAACATAAATTAAAAACAAAAATATATAATAAAGAATAACAAAGAATAAAATGATGTATAGAGAGAATAAAGAATGATTAGAAGAAGGAAAAGTAGAATTGATAATAGAAAAAAGTAAAAAGAAAGTAATAACAAAAGAAATTATCAACGATATAAACAAAGACAAAATAGTCATCAATAACTATAGATAAAATAAATGAAGTGGCTGACAATAAAAGAGTATGATGTGTTGAACAATACTCAAATAACTAATACAGAATGATTTATTTTTATAATAATAAGAAACATGAAATAGTATTTATAATGAATTGTATTAAGAAGTGAATAAAGAATAAATTTATTTGATAGCAAAAGGTCATGAATTATTAAAAAATAGATTTAATAAATTAAATGATTTATTCATAATAGAAAAACAAATAATGGTAATAAGTATTAAACAAATGTTTATATAATAATCATAAATAAAAATCAGATTTGTTGAAATAAATTAGAATTATCTAATAAAACAATAAATGAAAAGATATATATACAAAATTCAAATTTTTTCATGAAAGATTAATTTTGAAAACACAAACAATATGATATTAAAGAAATAATAGAAAAAGAACAAGGTATATTAAAATAATTTATATATTAAATATAATAAGTACTTAATGGTATAATTGGTAATATAACAAAAAGAACAAACCAAAAGAAAAGAACAAATAATAGAGGAACTTACAATAATATAATAATAATAATTTTAGTAACATCATTTTATAAAAGTAAAGAAATTATGATTATAATCATAGATATTTTTAATGAATACATAAAATTATTTAAACAATTACAAAGTAAGTTATAATACAATTACTCAAGTATACAAATTAATTCTTAAATAATGGAGTTATAAATAGTTTGATCTTTGATATAATAATAAAACTATTTATGTTAGTTAGAATCAAAATATTCAAGATTACTTAATAAATAAATAAAATAAATTAACAATGATTAATATTATAATTAGAATAGTGTTGTATTAATTTAATGAATTTTTAATAACTAATTGAAATAAATGAATAGAAGTTAGTAATAAAGATATTTATATAAGTTGTTTCGAATTAAATATTATAATAATTAAATTAATGCTGTTTAAAATATTACCTGAAATGATAGAAATAATGGACAGTATTTATATTAGATAAAAACATAGGAATAAGTATAAAAATAAGAATCAAAAACTTTTGAATAATGAACAATTGGTTGTAATATATACGAATACAATGAATTATGTTATTAAAAGTAGAAATGAAAGCTTATTGAAAATAGTACATATTTTATATAGATATTTTAATAGTTATATTAAAATGTTAACGAAGAACTCAGAAATTAAACAAGATAATAGAGTCAATACAAATGAATAACTGGTTATTGAATGTAGAAAAGATAAAATATAAGAATAACAAATATTATTGAAATACATACTATATGAAAGAATATCAACACAAAAATAGCGTGCCACGACAAACAAAGATGACATTGATGAAATGTAAAATTTAATAAATGAATTAAATTAACAAAAGTTCATGATACAACTAAATTGTTGAAAGGGATGTATAAAAGAGAGAAATAAATAATAAATATAATAGAAGAAGTATAGAAGAAAGAGAAAAGAAGAGTAATAACAGAAGAGTTAAAATAATAAATGATGAAATAGAGTATTTATTGAAAACAATCTCTCAATGAAAACTACATAATGATTAAATACAAGGATATTATTGGAAGTATCTAACTGAGTAGAGAGATAAATTATTAAATATATTCAAATATTGTTATATTACAGTGATTATATCCAGATGGTATTTAGAAAAACAACACTTATTTACAAGGGTGTAATTCTAAATCACCAGAGAAATATAGATAAATAT